CCACTGGAGGTCGGGGAACTGGCATAGAGTATGTATCGAGTTTTGTATCTGAAGACGTTCCACTTGATATCAGAAAACTTACCTACCTATAGTCAATTGTTTTTTATCTTTTTGTAAATAATATTTAATAGATGTGTTAAATATACTTTAACATTTTTAATTAGGTATATGTAAAATTCTAGAATGCTAGTAGGTTATATATTATACCGAATTGAATGTGTTGACTAATTTACTAATGAAAAATTGAGAATAGTTTTTAATTTTTTTTTTTAAATAAAATTTTCTATTCATATTTTTCTTTTAATAAATAATAATCATCTAAATAACGTAACATATTGACGTAATTCAGTCGGTCACTAAAGTTTTCAGAATACCAAGACAACAGTTCTGAATTTTTCTATAAATTAAAGTATTTGATTTTATCCTTGTTCGTAGGACACAGTAGCGCAAAGATTTTTTTATGGACAGTTTTGTTTTACATTATGATTATAATTTTTTCTGAGTTTCTGTAGTAGTCTGAATGGTTGTTCTGTAATTCAATAGTTAATTAAATTAGGTCCAAGTAAGAAACACTTTAGTTGGCAAGGAGCACATGGACATTGGGTGTTGCCGGTCGCTTTACTACCATCTTAGCGGTTACATACCTCAAACACATACCAATCGCTTTATAACTCCGAACAACTGATATCTAACTCACATTTATATTATTAGTAGGATTAATATCCTTTCTCACACAACTTTATCTTTGGCAATATCGACCCGTCGGCGGCGACTTCCCATTCTCGAAGTAAAACACGGCGGGAAGGAAACCGCGGGATAAACCGCCCCCCGCCGCACCCCCGTCCACCCCCAGCCCGATCTTTACGTTTCAGGAATAAATATTTCAGAGCGTGTGCTTCGGAAGTTAAAGTTATGTATCGCCCGAGCCAGCGGTAACAATCTGAGAATGAGAAAAGCTCGCTTTCCTTTTATGTTACTCGCTTTGTGTGTGGATACATTTATATAATATAATATTTTATTTCTATATGTATTTATAAAATTGATTGATTTTTGTATATTAAGTATCGTGCCTCCAACCAAACTATTTATAATTACTCTTCTTCATCATCCATCAAAAATTACCTTAAAAAGCGATCTCTTTGATTCTCTTTTAGCCATAAAGCCGTCCATTGTTTTCTTTGTATGATCTATTTATAGTAATTTTTGTTTCTGCTAAGTATTTCGCTGTAATATTTTAGTGGGAACAATAAAGAGTTATTTATCTATATATTTGATACTAGCGTTTTCCACGCTCTTTCGTACGCGTGGATTTCAAAAGTGTGAAAACCAATTAAATAGATGAAACATACACCAGATTTTTAGTTAGACCTTCAGATATAATTGCGACCATACCCAATTTGATGCGGTAGTTTTTGTGTGTACAAACAGATAGACTAGATTTCGAAAAATTTTATGTTTTGGCTTCTATTGCCCTTACTAAGACGCATCATATGAATTTTTATTAAATATCTTCCATGTATAGACATCTACTTGTTATAATTTTATTACATTAGTAAAATGTACTGTATTGCTAAGACATACCGATTCGCGAATCCTTTTTTACATGTGAGCAATATAACAAAATGTTTCGGTTCCGTCGACTACAATTGATAATAAGCACTATTTATTTAAGCTTTCGTTACACTTTATGCCAATAACAATAAAAATACAAAATATCACATACTGTAGCTATATAATGTTAGAATAATTTGTCATGCTATTTTAGTTTTATATTTTATGCTAAATTTAAAATTTATAACTACGTAATTTTGTTGTAGGTAAGTATATAAATACATCATTTGAATACCGTGAACATACACAAATATATTTAGATATGGTACCTAACTATTTGACCAGAATTAGTATTTCTTTTTATCAAAATCAATTTGAATGCTTTCAAGATACGACTTTACTTTTTTGTTACTAAAATATTTGCGTAATGTAGTAATTACGGTTTTTTTTTTGTTTTATTATATTATTTTTAAAAATAAACACCACAACGACAATGTGTTTGATTTTGATTACAATATCGTCTATGTTTATACATATAAAAGTGCATATAAGTATATGTACATATTAATATGTTACTATTTCCTCTATTATATAGATTCAAAAAAACAGTAATTTAAAGGACGATTTTTGCAAAATTACAGTTAGAAGAAGAAAAAACCTTCAAAAAGTGACTTCACTACTAGGAATATCACTATTCAATAAACAGTTATATAAATAAATACTTTTCTTTAAAAACGTGTGAAAACTTTAAATAATTTTTTTAAGCAACTTGAAATTTCAATTATACTGACATCTCACTTGATGGTAAGTGGTAACCTTCTTCGCCTGTAATAAAAGCCGCACTATTATTATAAGATCATTGTTGGAATAAAACCCTATTGATTGCAAAAAGACTTCTTTTTTTATAGGTGATAATGAAATAGTAACCCCCACGCTATTGGTATACACCGGCGGGGCACCAGTGAAGGATGATAGATGAGGATGAAACAGGTCAGTTAGCCCATCGTGACGAATTCAACGAAAAATGTTCACGATGTTTTCCAGGGGGAACCACGTGGAGGTTGACCTGACAGGGCTAGCAATAGGGCTGTCAAACTCCGTTGCTAACAATCCCTTCCCCCTGCAAAAAGACTTGTCGAAATCATTTCAGGATTGGTATATATAGGCTTGATGTAATACATACGAACTAAGAACCGTTTAATTTTATTGGAAGTGGCTTAAATAGTTAAATGAAAGAAAGAATTTTTATTCAACTAAACTTAAATTATTAAAACTTTTAAAATTTCATTGCGTCTTTCATTACGTATGTGTACACTATAACAATGTCCGTGCGTTATTGTTACGCATAAATCGTTCGCTTTACACACAGCGTAAATTTTCATTATCGTCCATTTTATTGCCATCGTATACGTAAGGTCACGAGATAAGAATAGAAACCTTGAAAGAAGTAAGTCAATATTTTACTTGTTTGGTAGGTTATTGAAAGGTAGATAAGTTTAATTAAAATTTGAAATTAAAATATTATGTATTAATATCCCACTGCTGGGCATGAGTTATCATGAATATTTTTTATGTATATGTATATAAGTATGGCCGTGTAGTAATAGGCCATCCTTTCCTTTCCTGTGGATATCGTAAAAACAGATTAAGGGAGGGCGAGGGATAGGCAGCAGCGTCCCTCTTAAAAAATCTTTAAAGCCTGACGGTGGTTGCCAATCCGCTTGCCAAGCGTGGCAACTACTGGCAGAACTCAAGGTGGAGGCTTATGTTCAACAGTGGACGGTTAATGGCTGATATGATGATGATGATGTATATATTGTATGTATGGAACGGTAAGCCCGCCCATGCTATTGGTATTCGCTGGTGGAGAATGTACCAGTGAATGATGAGCGATGAGGATTATTGAGGATTAAGTCAGGTCAGTTGGCCCAGCGCGACGTCTTTTCACGATGATTTCCAGAAGGTTGCCATTAATGAGGCCATAAAACTCTTAGTAATAATCCCTTCCTCGTATAGGAGCATTTTGTACGGTTTTTCTCTTGTAGTTTTCCTCGTTTAACATTTGTATGTATTTGTACTTATTAGTATAATTATAAAGATAAATAATAGATAATTATAGATATAATAAATATAAATATTTATTGAATGGTATCTAGAGATGTGTCAACTAAACTAATCTTGGATTGGTACACAACTGTGATACATAGTTAGAGATCAATTGATGTTTCAATAATTATTCATTAGGAAATACGTTTGTAAATAGCCTGGAATACTATCAATTAAAAAATTTCACAAAGTTTTCAGAAAAAAGGTACAAAGGCTATTTTAGATTTTATTGTACGTGTGATAGTCTCTCTTCTGGAGTCAAGAGTTCTAAGCCGTCTTATACACGAAAGTCACTGAATGACATGTTTACATTTTTTTTTTAAAAACTTAAAAAAAAAAATTATAACAATGTTCTTTATATCTTCCTTAAGCGTTGCAATTTTGGCTATAATGTGTTTAGCAGCTTCCCATATATAAAATATTACTTTTAAATTTTAAATTATTATCGTGATGACTAGATAAGAATTTTCTATAAGAATAATGGTAATTTGAGGTTTTGTTACATGAAAAATCAACTTCAATATTGACGAAATTTGTATGGAACCCTGTGGTTTACTCCCGTGTCGGTGTTTCGATGATTTAGACAGCAAAATGAACTCCTCAGTAAGAGTTAATTGGTGAAGAATGCTTTTGATGAATTTAACCCTTCTTTGCATGATTTTTTTTTATTGGTGAAATCAAAGTCATATAATCAAAGTGATATAATTCATGTTTAAAATTAAAGGAAAAATGGTTAAAACAATAAATTTGACAGCTATGTTTTTTCTTTCTACAATGGACATTAAAAAATTCAATCAACTTAAAGTGAACTTGGTCTTTTATATAAGTTTTAGGCATTCAATGTTATGATGGAAATTTCCACCAGTATGCAAAGAAGAGTTAATATTTCATTATTATAAATTAATAAAATAAAACAGATTTTAAGGAATTTATTTATTTGATTGCATTTCAATAAACATTAATATTATTATTTATAATATTATTATATTAATGCCTTTATTTAAAATTATAACTAATGTTTATTTCTCAATCATTATCATCATCATCATATCACCCATCTACTATCCACTGCTGAATATAGATCTCCCTCAAAAGGGGGGGTTTTGCCAGTTAATTTTTTTTATTTTTAAATAATAATAAGTAATTAACTCTCCTTGTTAAGAAGAGAAAACAGAATGCGATGTTGATTCGCATATACAATAAATTTAAATTGTTTAATTATGAAATATACATAACGTCTTATGCAATAATAATTAGATTTTACTGTTTGTACGTAACAAGTACCTATTAATAATAATTAAAATAAACGAAATATTTACGATTACTAAAAAAAGAGTACTTACACATTAGCAAAAAAAAATCAGATAAAAACGTAACTCGAATCACAATATAAAAAGTAATAGTTATTTAAACAGTTGTATGTAGATATTGCTGTTTACTGTTGCACTGAACTCGCGGAAGACTTTTTAATCGAAATGTGTTAACCCGGCAAACATACAATGTTCTTTTATACTAGTAGTTTGAATGAATGAACCGTAGATTTATAGTATCAAGTAGTTACTAGTATAAAATGTTGTTACTCGTATGCAAATAGAAACTACGCATTCCGTTTATAGATGGCAATTATTTTGCTCTTGCGTCCGAGCCCTGATGCACGGTCACGGACATAAGGTATGTTAGGTACGTAATAATAAGTAGGAGTAGCGCATTTCTTAAAATAAAATATATTTCATTGTTTGTAAAGATTGGTTTCTAGAGAATACTATTTTGTATGTAAAGTAATAGGACAAAGACACAAGAAAATTTTCATTTTAATTTGAAAAATATAAATTGATTCCATATATATATATATATATATATATATATATATATATATATATATATATATATATATATATATATATATATATATATATATATATATGGAATCAATTTATATTTTTCAAATTAAAATGAAAATTTTCTTTTATATATATATATATATATATATATATATATATATATATATATATATAAGAGAAAATGGCAAAGAACATTAGTAGTTAGAAAGGTACTTAACCTTTCTAACTACTAATGTTTTTATATCTTATAATAAAATTGTAACTTGACGATATCTGTACATTATAGATATTTAAGAAAAATAATATGAAGGGTCTTGGAACTCTTCATATAAAAGTAAAACAAAACCGAAACAATATTATTTACAAATTTTGTATGCCTTGTTGTCTGTTTGTTCTGGCATTACGTAAAATTTACTAGACCAAATTGGATGCGATTTTCATTTTTATGTTTCTGAAGGTCTAAATTAAAAAAGTGTCAGATATTTTATCTTGATACGCCACTTACTGCGGGTTAGAGGTAGTAAGTAATAAATAGAAAAATGTATCAAACCTTACTGTACAAATGGTAGGGAGACAAAATGATGTGAAAAAATTTATGATGTAGATTGGTGCTATTTATAACTTTGCGATTATCCTATTTAAGAAAGTGTTTAGATAAAGTATTGTTTATTATTATGATGTATTGTATGATGCAATTTATACTTCATTAAACGCAGTAACTCTCGTCAGTGTACAATGCGTGCTTAAATGTGAACAGCAAAGCAGATCGTCATGCAAATACCATTTTTATTAATGACGTAGATAAGTATTATAACCGACCTAACTGGTAAGTAATAAAAAATATAGGTAGATAAAAAAAGGTCAGTAAAATAGATCCATTTTTAAAAGCTATTTCAAAGGGTATATTTTTTCATATGCGTATTAAGCACTAACTTCGTCAATTATGAATTGGTTTTGATAGTTCCATTTATAATTTTTTACGGTTTGCCTTTCACTTAATACTACAAATTTTGCTTATTTGTGGAACAAAATCTTTCATTTACTGTGATTAGTGATAATTTGTTTAAATTTTGCATTGAAATGACAATCAAACTTCAACTTTATAAATAAAAATCAGCGTCAAGTTCGTGAGAACTTGGCATATAGCCGAGTGACACCATTTCAGTGTCTTTTCTTTTTATTCTTGTTTATTATCAAATGTTTTTTTTTTGTTTTTGTAATAATGTGTGAAATTAAGCATTGAACAAACATTTCTTTCTTTCTTTCTTTCTAAAACTAGACTTTATTTGTATAGTATTTATGCCACTAATATCCTACCATTACTACCTTATTTTGCCAGTATTCATACAACTTTTTAATGTTATTAAACAAAGTTTCTGTAATCTGTTTTATAGGTCATTGTTGTATAAAAGTAGTATTTCATTATGTAAAGTATGCATGCACGTGATGTTCGTAATAATTGAATATTTTACATTAGAATTATAACAAGCTAGGTTTTATATAGGTAGCTAGGCAAGCATATATAGCGTATAAATCACGTGATTAGATAAATAATATTCAGAATTCCAAATAAACATGTTTTGATACTTTCTTGTTTTATTTGTAATTATTTACAATACGAAAGTAGTGAGGCCTAACCTGACCTGTATGAAACTAAAAATATACTAACAAAATTAGAGTGTTAAACAAGAAATATTAATAAAATAAAACAAAAGCAAATAAATGAAAGATATATCTGTGTCTCTATAATCAATCAGATGTAGTGGGTAGTACAGTATTTTTTTATAACTATATATAGCTAGTACTATGTATCTATTCGATATCTTAGTACATTATAATAACTAATCAAACGTTGGAACAGAGTGCTGTAGGGCAGGAATGTAAATGCAATGAACAATGAACGAGTCACACTCATAAACTGACTGCGCACATGTCGAGTGAATTCTAATCAACATTAAATATACTCGTACACTGCAGTTAATTTTAATATGCAATTTATCCATATATTGTAGTTACTGCACCATATCCTATAGTAATTATAATTCATATAAATTAATCAGGCAAAAGATATTGGTGCCGATAGCTGAGGTGCCATTTCTATAAATTTGTCTCTTAACCTAATATAATAAATAAATAATTTTGTAAAACTACTGTTTTATGGAGCATCACGAACTAAAATTATTTCATATTGATCCTTTCAATAAAGATGTTGCTGTGATAACAAATTGAAATTTTTATTTTAAAGACACGCTTAGAGTAATGGCACTTCAGAATCGACCCAATTGGATCTAAAAAAAGCCGATAGACCCACAGATAATATAATACTATAACAATAATAGAACGAAGGTCGGAGTAGATACTATCCATTTCATAAATATATTTATCAAAACAGATTGAGATCTAAAACAAACGCACACACATAAATCTACAGCATAAATCTTCCATCTTCCTTTTAGAAGTTCATATAAATATTATTTTTTTGTGATTAAAGTCTATTACAAAATACTATAGGTGCCTATTGTGAAATTACATTACAGAATTAATGGCGGCTCCATAGGGGAGTAATTAGTTCCTGAATTTCATCACTGTACAATTCGCTACAAGCCAAAGTTCATCTGTCACCCATTTGGATGAGTGGCGAGCTTCCATCGTGCGTTTCTATAGGCGATTTCTTCCACGCATAACCAAAATATGAAAGCAACGCCCAGCAGCAGTATTTTTAAACAGAAATAACATAGAAACTTCCAAGAAAAGAGCATATTACTTCTTAAAATAAAAGCCAGGCAATATACCAGCAATTTTTTTGATGTTGCTGGTGCCTATGGGAAGCGGTAATCGCTTATCATCAGGTAAACCTGCTCGAGTCTAGTTTGCTCATTGTGTTATAAAAAACAACCTTATAAATTATATTCATAGTACAGCTCGCGCGTTATTATTCCCTAGGATAAATGTGGTATGTCTTCGCACCTCGTCCTTTTACTGGTATATCTTCTTTATACCGGAACACAGCTATATTGTAATGTAATGTAGAATTAAAACAAAATGTTTTATTTTACCGTCTGAACAGTCATGTTGCGTAATACTTAGCCCGCGGCATTTGTGTGTGTACAAATACAACATGGTACGTATGTATGTAGAGAAAACAGTAAAGAATGATCGCGACATGAGACAGCACTTGAAAGAAAAATAACACTCATTCTATCTCCTTACGGCTACTACTATACGAATAACTTCTAACAAAGCGGGGGGTTAAATTGCATTTACGTTTTCTTTTAAAAATGTTTTGATATTGTTTCTTCTTATACGTCTACCATATAGTTTTGTTTGCACGTATGGGGACATAAAGGGTATTGTTGTTCAAGTAAAACATATAGTTTTAGATATAATATGTATAATTGTATTTATATCATATTATGTAAGATGTGCAATGTAAGTATTAAAAGGTAAAAATCTTAAGTAGCAAGAATATTTTGTTATTTTACTTCCACGTACTTATTTGTATGTATCCCTATAACAACATAGAGGCGCAAATTCTGGACCTATTTGCTTGATTAATTTTATTTAGAGAATTATTATTATTATCGCTAGTGCAGTATTAACAGTTGCGAAATATGTTGAAATTATACTTACAAGTATAATTATATACCACTTAAATCGAGTGTTATGTTTAATAATATACAAATTGATTATCTCATGAGGAGTTATAGTCGTTGTAGATAGTCACTACTTCTATATCTGTACCAGACAGCGGAAATAAAACTAGTAAATTAGATACTTATTCATAAGTATTTATTATTATATAATTATATATCTTTATATAAAAAGGTACGGTTTAATTATATTTATATTTCATAGTAGGTTGGCATTAAAAATGGCATCGCAATCTCTGCAAATTAATCTAGCAACCCGCAAATACAGACGTGACATTACGAAGGAAATTTAGGAAAAAAGGGTCAGAGAGACCCACAAAAATCAGCGGCGATGACTAGCCGATTCTACTCGGGTTACGTTCCTAATCCCGAACCCTTCCTCGCAATATGATTTGCGTCAGTGGAGATGCGTTCGGAACAGATCACCGGACGGTAACCGAGTGGAAAAAGCGCTTCTCATCGGGACCGGCACGCGAAGTCGTTTTGAATTCGAGTGGCGTTTTTGAACGACCAAGTTTCGACTAAGTAGCAATGTGTATGTAAGTATTATATAGAAACAATATACCTAAATTTATTTACGAAAAAAAGTATTTCAATATCTATTTCTATCTGTTGTCTGGTATCCATAGTACTCTGTTCATTTTGGGACCAAGTCCATGGGTATTTTTAATAAATATTTTTAATTAAAAATAAAACTGACAAAATGTCTTATAGACATTAGATTTATGGTAAATGTAATGGAGCAAGTAATTAATTGGACATTATACTAATGCCTTTATTAACTACTTTGCCTTCTTTAATCATTTGCAATAAGCAGTATTTTTTTGAAAAAGTAACGACAATTACAATCGTCTCAAAATTCATATGGGACTAGAACAGAAGTAAACATTTTCGATCGCAAAAAAACAATGAAAATCTGAATAGATTTTGATAATTCATTTTGAATTAAATGGATAAAATAATTATCAAAATCCATTAAATATTTTTGGAAGAATTAGAAGAATAAGTTTTTAAAAATAACCTTTCCTT